TGGCTAGGCCAGAGCACTGTCTCCCTCCGGAGGGAGGCGAACCTGTGACCCCTGAAGCCATGTGGAGGGGAGTGGGAGGGCGGGGCGGACCGAGGAGTGCAAGGGACAGGATGGGGACACAGGGACTTCCATGTTTTCTGTAGTCTTCTTGGACAGCAGAGTGCTGAGAAAGGAACAGCCTTCTGAATTAACTGAATAAATCAGGAACACATGTCATAAGATTTTATACTCTCAAGCTGACCCTGGTCAGTCCTGAGAAGCTGCGGAAAGTCGCTTGTTAAATTCCAGATCTCTGCAGCGAGCCAGCCAAGCACAAAGCCATGCTGCTGAGGAGAGGCCCAGCGATTCGAGCCTGAGCCCAGCGCCTGCCCCGGCAGGCACCGAGGCTGCCTCCGCTGTCCACTCTGCGCCCTGCCTGATCACCGCCTCTGGACAAATGCCTTCTACATGGACAGAACTCAATTTTGACCCGAAGCAGTCTGTGCTGGTTCCCAGCACCCTGTTGTGGCCTGGCCTGGGAAACCACGGCCACACAGTCCACGAGGAAGCCCAGTGGTGCTTCCCAGGCGCCTGCCTGACAGCCCAGAGCCACAGCAGCATCATGTCTCTCCTAGCATTCCCAGCACCATGCGTGAGAGGGTCTGACTGGAGCTTGTTCTGCCAGGCAGCCACGGCAGCAGGAGACACCTGAGACGGCAACGCGGGCACTGCAGGGACCGTGACATGATGCCTGCCGGCCATTGGCGCCGCCCCGGCTTTCCTCAGGCCTCACCCACGAGAGCAGCTGCTGCCATGCAGTCCTCCTCGCCCCCGGGGGGAGCAGGACTCTGTCTCTTGAAGCGGTGTTCAGGTGAGCACTTGAATCTGAAATAAAAACTAGTCATACAGATGAAGCAGTGAGCCGAAGCACTATTCACACTTTCAATGACATGTATTAAAAATGCATTTACCTTTGCAAAAGTAGATGCCATCTATCAAAATCCAGAGACCAGTCTACCTGACAAATGCTGTGGGAAGTTTCACAGGCGCATCCAGAGGATTTAAAGTGCCCACCATAGCAAGTGCACATTGCTGCGAACCACTTTATGCCGTTATTTTCTTTGATTACATACACATTAATAATGAATTTAAGGGTCAGCGAGATAGCTCAGCAGGCTGAGTGCTTGCTCAGGTAAGTGCAGGGGTCAGGGCTTGGTCCCTGGTACCGCATGCTGCACTGCCCTGTCCCTGGAGTCCAGGTGCTCTGAGATAGTGATTGAAACAACGTGGTGGTGCATGCCTGTAATCCCAGCACTAGGGTGGCAGAGAACAGGAGGATCACTATGAGTCCAGGCTGCATAGTGAGACCCTGCACACACACAAAACCTAAAGTAATAATAATAATAATAATAATAATAATAATAATTTAACTAAATCGAAATTAATTTGAAATGTGCAAATGTCTTTATGCACCCTTGGGGAATATTGAGAATTTAGTTACAACTTCTGACTGATCTCATGTGAAATATGAGAGTGATCTATGTGACCAGACCTGAGATACGTTTCTCAACTGTAAAATAACTGAACCTATATAAGGTTATGAGAAAAGCCAGGGTTAGATTTTGGTAATTAGTCAATGACTCATGTTTTTGACAATAAAATGTTTACACTATGCAGAAAATTATTTCCAAGCAATTTGAGAGTTGATAGTTGGTAGCAGTATTTATAGGTTACTTTTGTAGTGGGTGGGACATGTAGTAGGAGTATTTGTAGATGATATTATGCATATGCATTATATTTCTCATTTAGTATAATCGTGTTATAGAATAGACACTCTTTATTAGTGCTTAAAACCTTTGTACTACATGTTGTTGGTATTCTAATAGATTTTGTGTGTATACATTCTATGTATACATTCGATATTAGATACATTCTAGACATACATTCTATATAAGATATGTAAAACTACATATAATTTTCCATCCAGTAGAGTGATTTTTCTCACTTTTCTGTGAATAACTAAAAATAATATGGGAGCAATTCTGAAGCTAAGTGTGGTTTTCAACAGTCTTAACCACTAATTAAAAATATTCATTGAGCTCTGACGTAGACTGCACTTGTAGTTTCCAGCTGGGATAAGTTAGGGGCTGGAGCCGATACCACGCGCGGAGAGGAGCCCGGCTTTCCATCTTTTTATGGGTTGGTGATGGAACTTCAAAAACCTGAAATCAGACACATAAGTGGATTTCTCTTTTTAATATTTTTGAATCCACAAAGCAAAACTATCCAACTCAAGTCGCAGTCTATGGAAATGCCCATAAAGGAAAAGAAAAAATAAATTTAGAATGTTTGGAAACTTCTTAGCAGCTTTCTTTTCAGCATTTTCTTTCAGGCATCAACCTTAGTCCAACATAAACTAACTAGAGTCAGGCTAAATTCAAAGATTTTCAACCAATGAATTACAAAATTGCAAAAAAACAAGAACCGATAATCTAAGGATAATATTTTCATACGGCTCCCTCCCATTCAGGCCCATCAAGCGGAAGCTGTAAAAATAAGCTGCGGCCCGCCCCACAGGCAGAAGCACAACCACGGCGGCCCCTGCCGTACCCTTCCTGAATGGCTGACGGGATTCCTGGGAGTGTTTCCGTAGGCTAAATTACAGGATGAGAGAGTCATGGACTGTTTAGGACTCAAGGAATCTGAGCAATCGCCCGAGTGCCACGAGCCGGGCTGTCCCCCGGATGCCGAAAAACAGAACAGGAGCCAGTGCCTTGGCGGGTGGGAGGCGCTCCGCGGCAGCGCCCCGACGGTACCCGGCGCTGCAGGGCCACTGGGGACGAGCTCGGCGGAGCGGTGCTGGGCCGGGCAGCCAGGGCATACTCACCGTACCGCGTCATAGCAGACCTCTGGATGGACCGTCCCTGAACATTTTTAGAGTGTAGCAAGGCACGCCATTAGCTAAAATCCACACTGTGTAGTGAAATCTTTAGCCTCGCCTGGCACCTTTAAAGTCACCTTGTAATACCTGCATAAATGACATGTTGAAGTAGAGGTTAAGCGTTATGTTCTGTGTCACCGAGCTCAGCGTGCACACAGGGGGCTGATGTTCCTTATTTAACTGGCATCCCTACTGCTTAGGATGACACATCTCTCCAAAAGGCTAATGAAACTGAAAGGCTAATCGCTCCCCTCGAACACCCGAGGGACGGCTGAAGTTGGGCACACTAGTAGAATACGAAGGTAAATTCCGCTTATGCTTAGAGCAGGTTGTCTCACTAACCCTCCAAGAACTCAGCTTATAGAGATGCGGGGCACCCCATTCCGCACGACTGTGCCCACCCTGCTCCTGTGTGGACAGACGGACAGGATGCTCAGGGAACTCCACAGCCACAAATCCATTCTGCAAGAAGGCTTCCAGGTCTTGGAAAAGTCATTCCAAATAAAAAATCAGTTCGAATTACTTCATAGAAAAGAAGAATTTTAAACGGCTCTCAAGCATGTCATGTGGTTAACGAGAAAAAAAAACACAAAATCATTTTGCTCAGAAATCTTTCCCTCGGGTAATATCCCAGCTCTGCTCTTATTAGGAAGGAATCATAGAATTTCTTGGAATAGAAACACTGTCTGGAAACTCACTGTGAGGGTACGGGTGCTCGACTGGCCGGGCCTTCACCCCACCCAGCTGGCTCTGAAGCTCAAGGCCCAGACCAGGAGGGTGGCTGCGGAAGGCAGCGCGCATGTGCACGCATGCCCCATCCACGCCCAGAGTGTGGGCCCGCATTCTCCGTTCACGCCCAGAGTGTGGGCATATGTGCTCCGTCCACTATCAGAGTGTGGGTACGCATGTCCCACCCATGCTTCATGCCCAGAGTGTGGGCCCTCGTGCCCTGTCCATGCCCAGAGTGTGGGCCGGCATACCCCGTCCACACTCCACACCCAGAGTGTGGGCCCGCATGCCCCGTCCATGCTCCACGCCCAGAGCGTGGGCCCATGTGCCCTGTCCACGCCCAGAGTGTGGGCCGGCATACCCCATCCACACTCCACGCCCAGAGCGTGGGCCCGCATGCCCCGTCCATGCTCCATGCCCAGAGTGTGCGTCTGCATGCCCCGTCCATGCTCCATGCCCAGAACGTGGGCCCACGTGCCCTGTCCACGCCCAGAGCGTGGGCCCGCATGCCCCGTCCATGTCAGCACGTGTGGACGCATGCTCTATCCATGCCCAGCTCAGCCTGTGGCCCTCTCAGCCGCATAGAGGCTGCACATGCCACACACCACAGCCCCGGAGCTTCCACTCTCCATATGATGAGCGGCTGCCTTTCAGGCACTCTGTTAGACAGTTACACTGACCCTAGGAACTCTTACCTTCCCCTAAGAACTGCAAATACAACTTGTGTCTTGTATGTTAGCTCAACTTTAGACAAAATTAACAATGAGTGATACCAAAAGTCCATTTTCTTACTTTGTGTCCTAAGTAACTTTCCCCAAATCATGAGAATTTCTCGGTTCTCTGGATAAGTTTATTTAAGTGTCTAGGATCCTGAATTAGGAAAAAAGAAAGCTTTCCATTGAAAACAAATAAAAATACTGGGTGGGCTTGTGGAGTTCCAAATCTATTTTTGAGTCACATTTAGTTGCCAAAATTGATATAATGTATCCTCTTGCTTTTTGAGTTCAAGAAATTCCCAATTACTTGAATCAACTTTTTAAAAACTGAGCGCATGATTTCTCTCTATATGAAGTAACTTTAAAATACTGTGTCCCATTAGATTATTTTTAGTCTGGCTTTATAAAATTTACAATGAGCATAGCCAAAGATCAGAGAGCAACGAATTCATGAAAGGGTGTGTCCTACCTGAGCCTATCGCTGCGGAAGTACACTGATTTCATTCACTCCCTTAAAGTCGTCCTGGGACTCAAGAGCACAACCGAAACAGCCCACGTTGCTATATTTATGATTGCATCTCATTAGAATTTCATAAACTATATTTAGTCATACAAAAATAAATTCTTCTTCAGCCATTATAATGTATATTACACATTTCTCTATTATAGTGACTGTTACAAACACATGCAACCAAAAGAAGCCCAGAACTTTTCACCTTATTTAGGTAATCCCTCACAGCAAAACGTTCCGACTACACATTCGACAAGCTGTCCTGCTCCGCTTCAGCGAGCTCCAGCTCATCTTCAGAAGACCACGTCTTGCGCATTCCTGCCTGGCTCCTCCACTCCTCCCTGCTGACCTGACCCAGTGCGCTTCCATGGGCGACTGCACCTCATTATTTTGTAACTGTCAGCTCTGATGTCTGCCTTCACACTGAGAAAAACGAGCTGGCGAGGGGCAGGCCGTCACCCCTGTCCTGTCTTTCTCTGGCCTCTGCTTGGCCCTGTCTAGCACATAATGAAGAACTAGGGCAGGCTTCCACCTGGGTTCTTTCAGCAGTGTCTCATGGTCCCCTAGCAGTGCACCTAGAAGGGCACTCAGTGAAGAAGTGGCCACTGAGTCACAAAATTCTACTGAAATAATTTAAATTCTTTTTCGAGAATGTCCAATCGTGAAAATCATCATTTGCCTTCATATTGATTACCAGGCATTCTATATCATATTACCAACTGTGTACAGATCTTTAATGATAGCTTCATACGTATTTTGGTCCTTAAGAGACTAGAATCACACCTTGACTGACAGATTCCCACTCTTCTGCTCCCTGCCCCAATCACTGTCTCATGCACCCAAGTTTGAAACTCTCACCAGAGCTTAGAGAAAAATATTTTAAACCTCAGTCTGGAAATGGGGTGGAAACTGAGCTGTGCAGTTTCACTCACGAGGCTTCTGGCATGCTCTGCAGGGCGCCTCAGGCGGAGCAAGCGGAAGGAGCCACGCTGGATTTCCCAAGTACTATCGCTTGCCAGGAACAGGAAGATAAGCGGTCGTGGGGAGAACGCCACAGGTCAGCAATAATTGAAACAACCTATTTTCCAAGCCCTCTTATGGGCCTTCTCCTCTCTCTAGTTTATAGTTTTAATAGCTCCCCCCATTTAATTAAATGGGGCCCAGAGAAACTTAACTTGATAGTCATTTAAGAGCGCTAGACTCTGAAACTCAAGAGTGCAGATTGTGTGCCGGCTCACTCACCCATGGGCTGTGTCTCGAGGACGCTACCTGCTCTCCTCTTGAGAAGCCACCTGACAGAACAGAGCGGGCTCCCAGACGTGTGAACTTCCTTCGAGGTCTAAAATTCAGAGATCTTGTTTATCGTATGCCCAATCACTGGTACTTCCAAATTTTCACCCGCATCATTGTATGTTACTTTCTGTCTTTAGCATAGAATCTTTCTCCCTCTCTTTGCCTTTTTAAATCTGGACATTTCAACACCCATGTACTTAAATTTCCAGCACAAAGCTTTCCTCGTTGCTCCTCTTCCTGGCAAATTTCTCCTCCTTCAGCCTCCTACATCGTTCAGTGCACAGCGCAGTATTAACACACCCAAGAGAATGGGCTGCCTTGCTGAATGCTGCCTTTCCACTCTCAGCAGCTATGTTTCGTATCCAACAGTCTCGTGCTTCTTGGTGCATTACCACGCTCCTGTGAGGGATGTAAGGCTCGCAGCAGGTAAGAGGGTTCTGAGAATTCTGGATTGTTTTAAAAGCCTACTTAATTGGATTTTAAAGTGAAAACAATTTGTTGAGTTGAGTGATTGGCAAATGAATTGTACTTTTCATGATATTTCAAGCAAGCTACGACTAAATTTACATTCTCTTGGTAGTGTTGATTTTTAGAGTTTCACTCTGATTCCTATGGCCTTCTGTTTTGGAGGGTCATTTTACTTTGGAAGCAGAAGAAAGCTTGTGGTTAGGTGCTGTGTGGGTTCTGGCCGTGAGCAGTGTGGCGGCTGAAGTTGTTCCGCGTGTGGCCTAAAGAGTGAAGTAGGCTTGTGAGCAAAGGAACCAGGCTTAGTACCAGCTTCGTCAGGAAATCCTGGATGAGAGGAAGAATAAGCTACGGCGCCTCAGCCCTGCTTCCTTCTGCCACACATAAGGCAGGGCTGGGGTCCTGGCTTGTTTAACAGACGATGCAAATAAGATGAGAAAAGTTTTTGGAAGACTGTGGAATGTGTACGTGATGCCCATTGTTACTACTTCCAGGTTTGCTTCCCTATCCCCAATTCAGTCATGCCTTTCTTATCAAAGTGCACTCCTTGAGATTTCATTTAAATTTGGCAGAACTAAATAGTCTTACAGGGAAAAATGAGCCAAGAATCGGGGCTCTGCTCTGTCTGATGTGGAAACACACCAAGACGCCATGGGATAAGATGTCCATTTAAAGTACCAGTGCCAAGAGTAACTTAGAGGTTAATAATTGCTTTTCAATCATCTGAAGAAAAAAATGCTTTTCCAACAGTAATATTGTTTACCTTTTATGTGTGGGGTGTAGAGCATTACTTCTGTACCCCAGAAAAATTGGCCAAAAAAATCCCTGCGGTGCTTAAGGCAACAGTTGAGGGCAACAATTTTTTCTTACTGGATTCCTCTGTGCTGTGGTGTGATGGGGTGTGACGCCGCTCGAGTCCTCCTCGCTAGGGCGCCTCATCAGTAGGCACCCTGAGCAGCTCTTTACAAGCACAAATTAATGTACAATGATACAAAAAGACTTGGAAAACAGACTAGAATTGTGTAACTTTCTGATACCATTGAGTAATGATGTCAATAGATGAGAACTGTTTTGGGTTTGTTCCTGCAATATTTCGAATTTCATCTTAATTTGTTCATTTTAAGATCTTTCCATATTCTGAAGGGAACATTTCTCTGTCATTTTTTTTTCTGCTTCTTCTTTTGATTTACTAAGTATACATGTGAAGGATCTATTTGAGTTTAATAAGGTATTCTGACTACTCTATTCAATCTCAACAACACTATCTTTTTTGACTAAAAGCAAAATTAAGTCTAGAAGAACTACGTAGCGTGCCTGTGTTTGCTTAGACAGGAGGCAACCAAGCCAGTCCCGGGTCCCATCTCGCTGGACCGCTGGACCCACAAGGGTCCTCCTGGCCTGGCCTGCTCTGCCGCTGCCTCACTCCCATGTGGGGTTTCGTGTTCCCTGACTGTGTGCCTTGGAGCAGTCCGTTTTCTTAGTTACTCTCTCATTGCCGGGACCCAGCACCTCCGACCCTTAGGAGGAGAGGGTTATTTTGGCTCACACTTTGAGGAGCCTCAGGGTGGTGAGGCAGAGGAGAAGCAGTCCATGGCATGGTAGACAGGAATCAGAGAGTGAAATGAAGGAAGGGTGGAGGTAGCTTTTCCAGGGCTTTCCCTCCATGACCCTGCTTCCACCAGGCTCCGCCTACCAGCCAGCTCCACATTTCGCAATGATCCAGTCAGTGGATGAATCCACTGATGTGCTCACACCTGGTGATCCAGTCTCATCCCAGGGTCTGTCTGTGAGCAGCAGCTGAGGCTTTGGGGGGCCTCTAGATATGAGCTATTGCCTGCATGACCATCTACCCATAAACATGTCTTCCCACTTGGCACTTGCACTCCAATTTTATTAGCAGCATTTTCTGTTGTTCAAATATTAAGTTACGCAATGCATTCCATCAGCTCTTTTGAGAGACACAGTTAGGGTGCAGTGATAGGATGAACTGACATGACACCACGCAGCCCTTTATGTGTAGAGTGTAGTACATAATGCAGATTGGGGCGGTTTCAATACAACCATTTTATTTGTTTACGCAAAATTCATCCATTAGTGCAGTTCCTAATAAATAGGCAAAGACTAAGTATGTGTTAACGTCAGAAGACCAAGGGGAGCTGATGTCAAAACACAATGTGGTTTCCTGCATTGCATCCTGGAACAGGGAAAATGACATTAGCAGAAAATGGTAACCCACGCTCCAGGCCCCAGAGTAGGGCCAGGGGCTCGGTGCATGCTCGGACAGTGCAGGGAGAGTCGGGTGCACTATGCACAGCCCTACTCTGGGCCACCTGCACAACTCTCTGTAAATCCCACGCCACTAAGAATTTACAGTGTAAGGGCCATCCAAATAGCTCAGCAGATTAAAGCACCTGCAAGCAGCACCAGGGCTCGGGGGTTCACTCCCCAGGCCTGCCATGCCAGCCTCAACCCTGGGGCTCTCTGAGACAACAATTGAAACTGGGCATGGTGGCGTGTGCCTGTAATCCCAGCTCTTGGGAGGCTGTAAACAGGTGGATCACTAAGAATCTGATCTAGTAGTGAGACCCTGAAAACCCTGTAGACTCTTTCCTAAAATACAAAAATTTAAAAAAAAAATTAGAGTTTAGAATGATAAGCAATGATTTATTGACTTTCTAGTTTCTTCAGCCACCTTGTGCTGAAGAATATCAAAGACAGAAATGGTCACCTGAGGAAGAAAACTTCTCAGGCCCTCCACAGGTTCTTGGTCACGTAAGATGAGCAGTGTGGATTGAAGAGGAACAGAATGAGCTGGAGAGGTGGGGCAGGGAGTAAATGGACCTGCCGCAAGGGAAACATTGGCCCTGCTCAGCCAAGGAAAGGTCTGTGGATGCAGGAAACGTTTTGCAAGGTCATTACATCATTGGAGTATTTTCCTGTCGGGTAATAGTTATTTCCAACTATTTTATGGGCAGTCTGTGTCAAAACTTTTATGTGGATAAATATTTCTCTTTACGGAAAACAGGGGTAAGGTGCATTGATATTTGTGTGTGTAATATTTTTGCAAGCATGATATTTAAATATTTTTATTAAAGAAGTAGCAGTTTGTTTCATTCTAGTTTCTGAACACTAACATTCAATTAGCAGATATATAAGAGAATCATTAGTGCTATTTTAAATATTTTACTTGAATTGGACAATATGGGAAATGACTATTCTCTACTAATATACAAGGGACCGTAGTCATGGAGTTATACTTACAGGTGTTTGCTCCGTCAGATACGAGGACTCGCTGGCTAGAACTTGCGTAGGCCTGTCTAGCTGACATTGTATTGCACACGGGACACTGTTATCCTAGCGCACTGCTCAAATTTTAGTTATTTGCTATATTTATTAGGGCCATGAAAGCTAATTTGATAACTGCATTTGATAAAGGATCAATGTTAATATTCACAAGCAGAGCGCTTGAAGGAAGAATTGTAAACCAACTGTGAGATCTGCTTTGTAATGTATCATTGTCAAACCCACTTAAGAAAGTTCTATGAAAAGATGCAGTGCTCGGCGTGTGGCTGTCCGGGTTCTGTCCACATGGTTCAAAGGCGCTCGTTACCATCTCCTGCCTTCTCACTGACATCCTGCAGCATGTTTCCATCACTAAGTGTCCTTGAGTTTCCCCTTGGAGGGTGTAGGGAATCCAGATGGCCCGCATTACCATTTGGGTTCCGTGGGCAGTATGAAAACATGACCTCGCTCCTCACAAAAGCAGTTTTATGGGGTGTTAAGTGCTGCACTCTCTCTAAGCTCTCAGCTTAAATCAACCTGCTTAAAACAGAATATTTGATTTTATTTTCAAATGAGAACTGTCCTGATGCATCGCCAATTGGAAATGAGCAGTGGGACCTAATGTAAATATCCACCCGAGAGCATGGGGCACAGCCCGCAGCATGGAGCACGGCCCTTCCGACACAGAGAACAGCGTGGGCACTCACTTGTTCTCTGGAAACACCGGTGACTCTGGCTCAATGCATCCACACTTTCTTCAGCTCTGCATGCACCTGTGTTTTCCACTTGAAATCCAACACTGGAGCTCTCAGATGTCCTGACACTGGCTGTAACGCGGTCACCAAACTGGATTCTAGTGCAGCAGCCCCGACTCTCTGCACACTCTGTGTCTCCCCTTCCTGCAGCTGCAGGGTTTCTCAAGGACTGGCCTCAGGGTGGAGCTTATAACCTTATTTCAGGTGAGTGTAATGACATACCTGTGCCACCTTCCCCAGTGGTACTGTTTTTGTCACATCTGAAATCTTACTCAAGAAAAAGGCAT